AGAAGATCACTAAATAAATGTGTATTGAATTAAAAATCCTTTACATTTGTTACAATCTATCATTAACAAACAAAATATTGTGAAATCATAGCTTATTTGGATTTTTTTAATGATTATATAAGTATTCTTGATAAAATTTATTCTTATAATATTTTCAAAATGGATTTAGTCCTAAGGTATGTTAGAACATGTAATAAATAAAAAATAATACAAACTTTAAAGAAAGAATAAACAGGAGCTACAGAACCAGACTAAATAAATATGACTTACATTCTGCCCTGAAATGTGACTCATCCTGGTGAACGTGCTCAGGACTGGACAGTTACTCCACTGAACACATCTTTGCTTTGGTAGCTGTAGGAGCTCAGCGGGAGCACCACGTTCTAGTTATTGAACAGCAGATGAAACTCTCAAACAAACTTTTGCAGTGAACTCACAACTCTGCTAAATGGATTCTCACATCTACAACCAAAACAAACTGAACCCAAAGGTCTGTTGAAATAGTCAATGATAATATTTAAGCACTTGATTCGTATGAACAGCTGAGGATGGGTAAGTCGGTGAACATAACAGACCATGACGAACGCAGTGGCTCAGGAGGCAGACCCAAAGACAAAGGCACCACTGAGAACCAGGCAAAAACTTCCCATTAGAGCACAACAGCTACCCAAATTCTTTTTTTTTAAATCCTCCCTCGAGGATTATTTTTCCATTTTATCTTCAGGTAGAGGGGGAGGGAGAGACACATTGACTGGTTGCCTCCTTCACGACCCCGATCAGGGCTGGGGACGAACCGCAACCGAGGTACGTGCTCTTGACTGGAATTGAACCCGTGACTCATTGGTCCGCAGCTGACGCTCTAACCACTGAGCAAAACGAGCCAGGGTGCTAACCAAATTCTTAAGCCTTTGACACATATTAATCTCACTACCACTGCAAACCTGTAAGCCAAATATCTGTAAAATGGGAATATCCAACTTCACAAGACCTGGCACACAGGCAGAACTACTGAATGTTCGAACAGGAAGAGGAGTTAGAACCATTTATTATGACAATAATAAGTAATGACTTACTATTATGCTTACTCTTCACTTAACCCTGCCCCTGATCTTGCAAGATAGGAATCCTCATCCTCTGAGAGTGAGGGAACTGGAGCTCTGGCAGGTGACCCCAGACATCAAGTGATAGAAGACTGGAGACTTTAACCCAGTGGTTCTGACTCCAAATCGAGTGTCCTCTCTGCTGTGCCTTGGCAAACCCCAAGGACTCAGGCCTGTTTTGGAGCACTGTAAAGTCTGAAACAGCAGGTGATCTGGCCCTGGAGACCAAAAAGGGCCTAACATATTTTTACAATCCAGTATAATTATTTGGCATCTGCTTCTGACACATCACTGATTGACCTGGTAGGTGCCAAGTCTGAGTTTGTTCGATCTAACTTGACATCTCTACATGACTGTGCACTGCTGATCATGCTCTTCTTGAACCCTCTACTCCTCTGGCTTCCATGTCACATGACCTAATTCTGTCCCTCTGACTAATGGCCTTTACAATCCAAACATAGCCTGGAAAATGGATAATACTTATTGAATATTTCTCGCTTCTTATGTGGCAAGTATTGTCCCAGTAGCTTTAAATGTATTCACATGCATTGATTTATTTCATCCTCATAATAATTATGTGCACCAGGTGGTATTATTGTATCTTGAAAAGATAAGGAAATTTAGCAACAAAGAAAAGATAGATGAATTGGACTTCACCAAAATTAAAAATGTTTGTATGCTAAAGGACTCAAGTGAAATGACATCTCACAGAAGGGAAGAAAGTATTTGCAAAGCAATATATCCAATAAAGGATCAATATCTAGAAGATATAAAGTACAATTTAACAACAGTAAAATAAACAACCCAACAAAAAAATGAGCAAAGGAGTTGAACAAACATTTCTCCAAATAAGATATACAAATGGCCTCATCTTTCTTGATCTTTTAGCAGCCTTTGACATGTCACTTCTTGCCTCCGGTATAGTTTTCATTTAGTGTTCAGGACACCACTTCTTCTGTGTCACTGCTCCCTTTCAGCCACCTCTGCAGGTTCCTTTTTATCTCCTGACCTTCAACTTTATCATTCCCAAGGATCTCAGTGTTCTGACTCAGTCTTTTGACTTATGTTCATTACTTTAAACATCACTCAAAATGCTGACATCTCCAGTCTGGATCTTTCTCCTGAACTTAGACTCACATATCCAACTGCCAATTAAACATTTCTACCTAAAGATTAAGTATTTCATATTTAACCTAGCCTTAATCAGCTCAATTTCTACCCAAACCTCATTCATTACCTCATCTCAGTAAATGACAACTGTTCCTTTAATTGCTCAGGCTAACTACCTTAGAGTCATCCAGACCTACCCTTTCTAATGGTGCACATTACATCAGCAAATCCAGTTGGCTCTACTTTCATATATCCAGAATTAGATCACTCCTCATTACCTTTACCACCACCAACCTCATTCCTCTCATGGATTACTACAATAGCCAACAGGTCTCCCTTCTCCCCATCCCTGTCTGACTTCCACACAGGTTTTTTAAACTTTATTTAAAATCTAAATCATGTCACTCCATTGCTCAAACCCCTGCAGTAGCTTCCTATCTCCAAGTAAAAGCCATATTCATTACAAGGCCCCCCTTGACCGGCCAGCCCTTCTCATGGGGCTCCAGCCACATGTGCTCTATGCTTCTGTCCCTGCTTTTGCAGGACTCTATTTATGGGGCTGGCTCCCTCACGGCCTTCGTGCCTGCCTGCCTTATATACAAAAGCACGCTGCATCCTCCATGTCCCTTTACTTGCCTTTATTTCTGTACAGGATTTACCACCTCCTGACCCACCCAAACATATGAGGGTTTGCTTCTCCCCTCCAGCATTCAGTGAGGACAGCTTTGTTTTGTTACACTGCTCTTTCTCAGCACCAAGAACAGCGTCTGGCATGTAGCACACACTCAAATTGAATGGCTATTATCACTTTGCTTAGTTACAAAAAAGGGGGGGTGGGGTGCAATTTATAGATTTTAATGAGTATAGATTATGTGATAGATTAAAATGCAGAGAACCTCTAGATTCGATTATTCCAGGTTTTGCAGTTCAATTGAAATTCAAACTCAGCATGATTTCAGTAAGAAATTTTGAATATTGGTACAGGGTCTGGTCATACCCTGGCTTCTGGATGTATATGAACTTAGTTTTGCTCCAGTCTAACGTTTCTCTGTATTTTGACCAACTTATTTGTGCAAGAACAAAACACTGCAGCTTTACTTCCTTTTCTCTAGATGCTAGGTTTAGCCTAAGAGGTGATAGCTAGAATACACATTCAATGAAAGCTTTCTTCTTATGTAGGACTATAAACCCCAAATAACAATGAAACTGCACAATCTCAATATCACTTTCTTAAATTCACTTTTTTCCTATTATACAAGTATTTTATGTTTATTGTGGTGGGAAAAAATAGCTAAAGGTCACCGTTATGTCACTATTTAAGAGATTATCACTGTTAAATTCTTCAGATCTTATAAAACATTCACATGTACCATATATTGTGTAAAGTAAGCTTCATATGGGCTATCATTATCTGAATCACAGCTTAATCCAAGTTTCATTGGCTCTGGCCACTGTCAACATTGGGAGCATCATCAGCAATGTAGGGGCTGGTGGACCTGCCCCACTGGTAGTGCTGCCCCAGCAGGCAGTCCTGCCCCCTCCACCACTGCTGCCCCAGCTGAGACGAAAGTGGAAGCAAAGGAAGAAGAATACGAGGAGTCTAATGATGACATGGGCTTTGGTCTTTTCAACTAAACCTCTTTTGTAACACATTCAATAAAAAGCTGAATGCTGTTGGAAATAAAAACAATTATCTCTTTCCCCTGCCACCTCATCTTATCCTTTCTAATCTCTAAAAGTTTAATATATATATATATATTTAATCCTCACCTGAGGATATTTTTCTATTTATCTTCAGACAGAGTGGGAGGGAGAAACATCAACGTGAGAGGGACACATCGACTGGTTGCCTCCTACATGACCCTGATCAGGGCCGGGGATGAACCGCAGGTGAGGTACATGCCCTTGACCGGATTCGAAACCCGTGACTCATTGGTCTGTGGGCCGATGCTCTACTGCTGAGCCAAACTGCCAGGGCTAAAAGTTTTAATTTTTTTTTTTTTTTTCATCCTCACCCGAGGACATTTTTCCATTTTTTGTTCAGGTAGAGTGGGAGGGAGAGAGAGGAACAGAGAGAGAGAGAGAGAGAAACATCGACGTGAAAGGAACACATCGAGTGGCTGCCACCCACACGACTGACCAGGGCCAGGGACAAACTGCAACCGAGGTACGTGCCCTTAGCGGGAACCGAACCCGGGTCTCTCTGGACCGCAGGCCAACGCTCTAACTGCTGAGCAAATCCGGCCAGGGCAATATTTTTAAAGCTACTCATCAGCGCCTAAAAATAAGGTCTCTTGCACCCTGGAACAGAATGACAAACTTGGCTTTACATTAAGAAATAGAGAATCTGAAAATTTTAGTGGTGGAAAATTCCAGAGGTCTAGTCCAATTCATAAATCATAATTGTTAGTTTTTTCTTACAGAAGAAATTGGCTCAATGTGGTTAGATGCCTTAGTTTTAGAAAAGTAGTTTGGTTCATAATCCAACTCTGCCGACTTCCGGATTCAAGGATGCTCTGTACACTCTCCTAGTGGCTAGCTGTACAATGAAATGCATCCACAAGCAGCTTATGAGAATGATGAACGGATGTTGGTTAGGATAGTGGTTCTGCCACTTCTGAGCCTGTTTCCTTATCTTCAAATAATATATTCAGGTTCTAGGAAGATGTTTGTTGCCTAATTTATTTTGCATATAAACATTTTCTCATAGAAATACAAGCTTTCCCTTCAAATGAACAGGACTAATTTTCATATGATCAGATTCTAAAAATGTTCTTTAAATTTTTACAGATGTACATCCAAGGAAAATTACTATTTGCCAACTTTATTTTCAATGGTTATGGCACATCTGCTAAAGACATTCAAAAGCAAATTGTGAAGACAAGGGGTGATTATCATATGGGATATTTCCTACCCAATGACTTCAAAATCCGGTAACTACGTACATTCTACCTTATCTTGCACTTTTACTTATTTATTATTATTTAAATTTTTTTTGCCTTTATTAATTTGAGAGAGAGAAGAAGTGAGAGGGAGAGATAGAAACATTGATGAGAGAGAACATTGATTGGCCGCCTCCTACACGCCCCCCACTGGGGATCATGCCCACAGCCTGGCCATGTGCCCTGACCAGGAATTGAACTGGTGACCTCTTGGTCCATGGGTCGACACTCAACCACTGAGCCACACTGGCTGGACTTATCTTGCGCTTTTAATTAGTAAATCCCAGAAAAGGGCCAGTTGTCTGGGATTTACTTTTGTCTTTATGAGTAACTAGTTTTTATCTCAAACTTACTTTTGCCTTTATAAGTATTTATTCCTTGTCTCAAATCTTTTCTGGAAAGAGGTAGCGTATTTATTTAGAAGTTCAATTCAAGGAAGGTCACTTTCTTTTTAACCAACATATGTTGCCAAGACTGTTAAGCTAAGCTTGGAAAGAGTCAAACCAATAATTCATTCAATTACATAGCACAAAGTATGTTAACTTCCTTTTTAACTCAGTATATCTTTTCTGTCAGGGAGGTCATATAAGTCAACAAATGTAACACGATGAGAATGTATCCAATGGCTGATGGTCACTCTGAATGGTGAAAATGAACTTTTAAATTTAATCAGCTGTTTGCACTCTGAAAATTTAACATGTGAGGCATATAAATGAGCAAACAAAACTTAGACCAATGAAATCCAAAGTTTTCTTAAACAACTGCTGTCTTCTGTGGGTATATTAACAAATTCTGAAAAACAAGGTAGAAGAAAAACAGGGACAGAAGAAAGAGACAAAGCATTTTACCTTTGGCTGACTCATGTTGCAAACACCAGAATAAAAAGGTACACACACACAAGATACAAAGAAGTACAGATTTTATTATGGTCTTAAGCTCAGGAGAAACAATAATAGTACAGATATATACAAACCTACTACTGGGTTCTTATAAAATCCTTTAAAATAGTTGACAAAAATTCAATATAACAAAATACATAAAGCTATCAAATAAAGTACTATGTTAAAAAATTATAATCTCAAGTCTTCAGGTAGGGTAAGTAATGTAGTTCTATATAAACCATAAGCAGTCAAAAAGTAAAAATTAAAATATCTCTGAAAGAATATTCTCAAATGATATTTAAAAAAAATATGGCTTAACACTCCAAAAGTATCTGAAGTGAAGGCTGACTTTAGAAACTTACTATGTAAACAAGCCTGAACTCTGTAAGACAGGTCTTAAATTTCTGTTTCCAGGATTCATATCTAACAATGTCAAAAGAGAGAGTGCAAAGGCCCCCCAAACACTGAGAACACACTGTACATAGACATAAGATGGGTTCACCCATTTCTGGCTATGTCAAGAAACACAGATTAGTGCATTGATACAAGATTACTGATGTTAGAGCATTTTCATATTTAGGTGAATACCAAAAGTCATAAATTCTGGAAGAACTGGTATATAAGGCTCACCTATATAATTCTATATAGTTCATTAGAGAAAGATGAATAAGAAGAATTAAAGTATAAATTAAGAGTGAAGTTACAAGACAATGAAAGCATTTAAATCACTTGGCTTTAAAAGGAATAAAAATCTAAAGATCATTGTATCCAGTCTGTTTTACCAAAAGAAATATACACATAGTAACATATATAGTTCATTGCTTTAGGCAAACAGGAAAACATTGTGCAAAAAGGAAAACATTGAGAGTGAAGGTTAATGATATACAAAGTTTAACAGGCAAAAAATAATAGAATTCATGGGATGAAGTATCTCTGTAATGAATGTAGTCCAGAACTAATTGCAGGATTGAGTTCTTCAGAATGAGCTCAGTCTTATTGTAAAGGATAACCACTGACCCAATTTTCCTGATATAACCAGGCTTAGAGGACTAGTAATTTTTTAGCTCCTTTCATATGTGGAGTCCTTGATTAGTCTGCAGTGATTTCAAACAGGGTCTAAACTTACTGAAATGCCAGTATTACTCAAAGTACACATTTTCAGTGTGTATCATAACCTTTGGATTTGGGGCCTTTTCAGAAATCCTGTCCTCCAAGTTAAACAAAAACATGTATGTGGCTATAGCAATGTCACAGTTGATGAAAGACCATGTAATGAGTCAATGAGATCAGAATATTAAAAAAAAAAAAAAAAAAAAAAAAAGCACAAAAAAACTCAGAGCAGCAGGGAATGAAAATCAAGAAACTTACTAAAAGCCCTGGCCGGTTTGGCTCAGCGGTTAGAGCGTCCACCTGCGGTCCGTAGAGACCCGGGTTTGGTTCCCACTAAGGGCATGTACTTCGGTTGCAGTTTGTCCCCGGCCCTGGTTGGTCGTGCGGGTGGCAGCCACTCGATGTGTCTCTTTCACATCGATGTTTCCCTCTCTCTCCCTTCCTCTCTCTCCCTCCTACTCTGTCTGTACAAAAAATGGAAAAATGTCCTCGGATGAGGATTTAAAAAAAAAAAAAAAAAAAAAAAAAAGAAACTTACTAAAAATCTTATTTTACAAAATACTTTTGTAAAATGTGAGGTACTAGCTCATTTCCACTCTATTACCCTACCCTAGCTTGTTTTCATCAACCGCAGCAGATTCTACAATGTAGCCTATAATGCATCCAAAGGGTAATATGTCTACAAATGATGCTAAGGTTCTTCTCAGATGTGAAGCTCAAAAAGCGAGCTCAAAGCAATGTGGTAGATTCAACAGAGGAAAAGAAAAAGGCAGTCTCCAGAAACGAGAATTTAAAATTACTTAGCACTGGAGCCAGAAGGCAAAGACCAGTGCCTTTCAGAACCTATGAACAATTAGATAAATGAGACTGATACAATACTGTTCAGAAGAAAGTCTTTGAGAAAAACAAAACAGAACTCATTAATTTGGGGGAGAATTTCTTCTGGTGGCTAAGTTGCTTAACCTAAAAATAGAGATCCAATAATAAAAGTTACAAGTACAGTTTTCCTTACTGGCAATTAATAACCTATTACATATCACATTTCTGTTGTGATAAATTACTATGTTAATGTCTGCCAAGGCTTTGTCTTGTTATCCATTGTCATCCCTCTGATTTTAGAAGGATTAACCAGCCAATTCTTGCTAAAATGTAGGCACACATACAAAACAGTGAGTCCTGATGAACGAAGGATGTCTCATAAGCTCAGGTTATCTTCAGTCTTCACACTCTTGACGGTCCAGGAATGATGCGCGAGTTTAGGTTGGTTCTAGGATAGGCCCAGGGGCCTGGTTTGATCTGGGATCCCTGGGACCATACCTAGAACAAACCCAAACAAAACCAAACTCCTTTGGGGGTGCTTTCAGCTCAGGCAGACTTCTGGGCTTTTCACTCATATGGACCTCCAGGGCTGTACGAGGACCATACGCCAATCTTTAAGGAATAGGTGTAACATTTCTGGAGCTTTCTATATGTTGCCAGATGCTAATACCATGCCTGAGTAAGCATTTTAAGTACTAGAATGAACAGAAGGTACTACAGGTTGGTGTAATAAAAGTGCAGAAAATACTTTGATTTAGAAATGGAGTTAATTTAAAAATTTATTTGGGAGGGAAAAGGATATTATAAAAGAATAAACTTAAAAAAGACATATTTTAGTTTTAGGAAAAAAAATGTTGAAAGATAAAATAAACTTATTTTAGGTAGCCAATCTTTAGAAATGCTACATAAGTAAAATGTCTCAAGACCAAAATAGTAATATTATCCCTTATTTTGAGAAATTCTTTTGATACAAATATGAGAGGAAATATACAATAATATTTCATAGAATATGCCCACTTTAAAGTGCAGTTAGAAGTATACACAACTTAAATACTGTCCTATTGCAATAACATGTTTGATATGTGCCAAGTGAAATTCAGTATAGGGGAATGAAAGAAACTAATTTAATTGCTGACAGTTAAAATGTATTAAAATATAGCATCAAAAATACCATATGCATTTTAATTTATCACACATTTTAGGATATTCATAAATTCAACTCCTTATTAGTTTTTATATATGTAAGCCTTGCATTCATCCTTTTTTTTTTTTTTTTGGTTTAAGCAATTACAATGAGTAGAATCACTTTTATCCTAAAACTACACTCAAAGATAAATTTTCCTTGCACCACCAACCTGAGTTTGGTGTCATGACCATCTATGTTGTAATGGCAATCTCAACTCAGGAAACTAATCAGATTATATGGTTTTTGGTGAATTCTGTATCATAATTCCCTTCCAGTAGCATGAATAATGGAAAGCTGACTATGAGGCATACCATAAAATAAGTAGACTGATTTTAACATATGATTACTAAAACATAGTTGTCCTGTTAGTAAAACTAAATTGTCAAATGCTAGAATATCCTTCTGGACAGATTTGAATTTTACTTACAAACATTATATCATGCAAATTTCATGTTTATTTTTGAGAGAAAAATCATCATGCTTGATTATTTAGCACATTAAATGATAATTTAAACATGCAAAATATAGAATGACTGGGAATTTAGTCATTCAAATATCTGTCAGTTATCATTAGATCTAACACTGATAACTTTAGGCAAACTTTTAACATACAATTAATTGAATGAAAATAAAGATACTGTCTTCTGTGATATCAATAATAAAATTTTCTTATTTTCCAGGGCTCAACCTATTTCATGTTTTGGAAATGTAAGATATACTTCTGTAAAAACAGAAACAAAACAACAATAAAAACAACCTCACCCAAAGAAATTCTTAGCAGCATGTGGTATCCAAGTCAAAGAGAAAGTACTGTAGAAAAAGCTAATTTGTGTGGACTGGTTTTAATAGGAACCAAAAAATTAGAAGCTAGAAATACAAAGAAGGTAAGGCACAACAACAAAATGGTTCCTTTTGTATAATGAAAGCTCTTCTACTTTGAGAGCAGGTGCCCAATCTAGTAACCTCACTTATTTTCAAAAGGCACTAAAGTAATAGATGTCACAAAACCCATGCACTTAAGTATAATACAATTTTTTTGGTCTTCACTGAGTCAATTTACTCTACTTTATACATTATTCTAACCGTCTTAGCCACCTTGTTTTCAAAACCAAAGCAGACTAGAAGGAGTATTATGAGGATGGAGAAAGGCTCTTGCTACAGGCACACTTAAGCAAGCAATAATATAAACTGGAGTAATTAGAACTATTAGAGAGAAAAAAAAAAAAGAAAGCATAGAAGAATGGAGCCATTTAGTAAAGGGCATATAGCTATCAATGCCTAATTAGTTTGCACAGTATAATTAATAAGTACTGTTAATTACATTGACATAAAAAGATTAAAATGTATTTCATATATCATTTAAGAAGACAGCAATGCATATTAAGTTTTAAAAAGACTTCCTTCAAACCTTATTCTAAAAAATTTTAATGCTTACTTTAAGCTTTGTAGAAAACTGGGATATAAAGAATAACTCATTCCCAAAAAATTCAGTTACCCAGTTCTTAGCAAATTAGCCATGCATGTTTAGTCTCAAACCAATAGTTCTAGGATATAAATCTTGGTGAGCAGAGTTGAAATTACATTTATAGTGTTGTATGTTTTATGTTTGTACACTGTACTAGGAACAACATGTTTAACATTTTCCTAAAATATACACAATGATTTACACAAAGATGATAGTCAAGTTTTCTTTTATAGCTGAATTCATTAATGGAGGGTCCTAGAGATTGCAATATATAAAAACTGAATTAATACTTCAAATATATGGCAATCACATATAAAATCAATGGTTTTATACTAAGAGGCAAACAAAAGTATGCTAAGCAACCAAACAGATTCCACAAAGTCCATGCGCTTTACTGACAGAAAAGCCCCTTAGCCTTCTTGCAGTCTACTTACTCTTATTTTAGACACAATTTTAGCAAGCTTGGCATTCTGGTTTCTCAGTCCACAGCAGATTAGAAGCAGCAAATTAGGGGCCTAGTGCAGGAGGCAGGCACACAAAACAGGAGCAAAAAGTGACAGCTGATTATAAGGGAAGACAGAAAAACTGAAAAACAAATATAACTCTAAAAGCACAGCAATGCAGGATCACATAATACAGAGGCATTATATATCTCAGTAGCCCCTGAGGGTGAATTTCTGATCATCATCCCATGATAGGAATTCATGTTCTTAAAGATGACCCCAAAAAGTTAAAATTATATCCTAAATACTTTAGAAAAATTGTAGGAAATTTCCTGCTGTACTGTTAAAAAAGTTTAACGATGAAATGGAAAAATTAACTTATACGAGTTAGTCATCCATCAACAGATAAATCATTTATAATATAATGTGAATTACACAGATATGTTCTTATAAATATAACTGGGAGATAAGTAAACCTTTATGCCTTGTCTGGTTGTCATTCATGGCATGAATGAGCTGGCTGAGTTATACCAATTTTATGGGTTTCCTGTTTCCTTGTTTGTTTAGGTATAGACACAGTATACTATGCTTAAACCAAATCAATTGAACTTTTCTTCCCACATGATTTCTAATAATTTATCAAAATATTTAATATTACTGATGGAAATAACCTCCAGGATCCCTTAACACTTTATTGATTTATAATTTTGTGAAATGTATCAGAACTTGAATCTTTTTATGCTTTAACATTAAAAGTTTTACCACTTCTATTATGTGAATCAGAATGTTTCTATTATTTTTATTTTTTAATGAAAATTGAGTTTTTAATTTTTGACCTATTTTACTAACATATTGATAACTAGATCTTATTTTTTCGGCATCCAGATCATTTTTTTTTTTTTTTTATCCTCAAAGGTTTTACTTTTAACTGTTTCTGAGAAGTCACACATCACAAACATGACTTAGCAATCTATAGGATTTGGGTTTTGCTGGAAAAACTCCCTATGATGCTATTAAGTCAGCTGCACCCACAGCTTTTACAGATTTAAACTTGGGCCTATCCTTCTGTATTAAACCCTTACATTGATATTCTTAAATTTCCTTCTTAATTTGCCTTAAATGTGTTTCTCTTGACCTGTTGTCTCCAATAACTTCATAAGTCAAACTTGAGTCAATGTATCATTTCCTAATGACCTATATTCACATGCTCTAACAATTAGACTTAATGAGGACTTAACTTATGAAGTGAGATAATAGAGAAAATTTGTAAAAATAAGCAGAGGACCACAAATCAAGGACCAGCAAGAGTCTGGCACTAGAGAGACCAGATATATAGTTTTAATGAAAGCTGAAAAGAAAAGTTTAAGATATAACTGTCACTAGATCATGTCACTATGACTTTCCTAACTACAGACAAAGGGTAAAAATTTTGTCTTCAAGACTAACCTAAATGGCTATTTTTCATGCATTCTTACATTAAGTACTACGTTTAAAACAAACTATGGAATTGTTCATATTAAAAGCTGTCAGGATATTATTCTTAACAAGAATTATCCTGTCAAAATACCATTGTAAAATTTGGGAAGCACAATTACAAATTTTCCCCACAAAATATTTTCCCCAGAGGATTTCTTTTGGAAGTTGGATGGCAGCTATTATAACTAGTCAAAATCCCAATAAGACAAAGTGAAATATGCTTAGAAAAGTAACAAACAAGAATACCTACTTATATTGCATTGGCCTATTTTATTTCTTAAGGTATTTATGGTAAAAAGCATAAAGTCCAACATAGAGGTTCTTAGATTTTATTGGGCATAAACATAACCCAGGTCTTATTCCAAAATGACTAAGAATAAGGATGGCCCTACATCTACATTTTAAAAATAAGTCCTCCAACTTATTCTAATATAGGTGCCCAAGAAAAAAAAAAAACAGAGAAACACTGACTTCTAGACTACTATGAGAGAAAATTATACTCACAGGAAAGATAGTATTTTATCTCAGAAATATTTTAAAAGATGAAGAGAAAATTTGAAAATGACACACACCAAAAAATATTCAATTAAAAATTTAAGATCCTTATATCATGATTTCACCAAGTAGAATTTTCACTGAACTAAGTAACAACTAGTGAATAAAACAGATCAGACTGGAAGATTAGAAATTCTTGATTAAGGGTAGCCCCTCAAAATTAAAAAAGTGTCACCTTAGAGATCATATAGAGGTGATCTCTATATACTGTATTATATATTGTATATGATACAATATAATGAAGATATTTTTCCCAAACTGATATAATAAAAAATAAAATATAATAACAAAATTAAAAATTATTAAATTCTTCCTGTGTAAGGTTACAGATTAAGAGAAGAGTACCAACTTTTTCCTTAATTACTTCTAAATCCAAGGGAAAAAAGGAGTTGGCAAACTAATTTAAAAAGTAAGAAAACTCACCCGGCAGGTATGGCTCAGTGGTTTTGCGTCGACCCATGCACCAAGGAGTCGCTGGTTCGATTCCTGGTCAGGACACATGCCCAGGTTGTGGGCCAAATCCCCAGTGGGGGGCATGCTGGAGGCAGCCAATTGATGTTCTCTCTAATTGATTTTTCTCTCTCTTCCTCTCCCTTCCTCTCTCTCTAAAATCAATAAAGAAAAAAAAGTAAGAAAACGCATGTGGCTCAGTGGTTGGAGAATTGTCCCATACACTGAAAGACTGTGGGTTCGATTCCTGGTCAGGACACATACCTAGGTTTCGGGTTCGATCCCTAGTCACCTACAGGAGGCAGCTGATCAATGTTTCTCTCTCACATTGATATTTCTCTCTCTCTTGCCCTCCCTCTCTCTCTAAAATCAAGGAAGCATATCCTTGGGTGAGGATTAAAAAAAAGTAAACTCTAAATGTTACTACAATTTCTAAGTTGTAAAGTAGGTCCACTCTTAGGAACTGCTCTGCTCCTAAGAGCTTAATTAAGGATCAGTCACAGAACTTTTGACAACTGGCAGAATCACTTATAGTACAAAGGATCGCTACTGTTCATGTAAAGCAAAAGCAAGTTTTTCCTCAGGATAAAAAATAAATTTCCTTAGATTACAGAAAAAAAACAAAAAACCTCTTTGGTATGAAAATTTACTCAGTTGAAGTGCTAAGTTGTATGAGTCTGAATGTGTTTCTTATCTCTAAAGACAATCTAGATTCATCATGTAATTTTCTTTCTAGGGCGGCAGCACAAATTGAGTTATCCCTACATTTCCCCCAAATAACGTCTATAAGCTAAGTCAGTGCATGGAAGATATAGGTTTCAAAAAACTATATACTCCTGACAATATCACTCTTTGAAAATGCAGCCCTGGCCCTGGCCAGGTAGTTCAACTGGTTAGAGCGTTGTCCTGATACTCCAAGGTTGTGTATCTCCTGTCAGGGAACATACGAGTATCAACCACTGAATGCATCAAGTGGAACAACAAATCAATGTTTCTCTCTCTTTCTCCTTTCCTCTCTCCCTCTTTCTCTCTAAAATAAAGTAAAAAAAAAAAAAAAAAAAAGAAAAGAAAAGAAAAGAAAAGAAAGTGAAAATCACAACACAAAACAAAACAGATGAGACTGGACAGTTTGGAAAGCAACCTCTTTTAAGAGGTAGTTTGTAAATGAACTATGGAGGAGACAAGGATGCTTTCCAGGAAGCTGACAGGACGTTTCCAGAATTTTATTCAGGTGGAGAGGGGACAGCTTAAAGCAAGGTGTCAGCAGTATGGTGGCCTACTTATGTTAATGACACCCATTATCTCCAGCCTAATTGATAAAAAGAACTTTCTGTAAAATTGGGGGTGAGGTCTTGGACCACAGAGATCCCACTTTG